AAAAAAGAAGTACTGGAGAAGCGTTTAGACAACACGCATGAGTACTAATTAACGTCAAGAAGAGCGCAGAAACTAGCCAGAAAGCTATAATCATGATTCAGAACTGAAGTGTGGGAGCTCATTTATCTTGTGCTTTCCTTATTAAGTGATGACTCAGATTACTTTGCTTTCCTGACTTCCACTGGACATTATCAATCAGCCTCGTGCTTTTCTGTTCTGTCTTCCCATGGATGACAGCATCTCAGAAAAGTTAAGGTATTTATAGTTCTGGAATTTTGAACAATCATTTAATTTTAGCCTAATAAAGAGGTTAGATTATTTAAGGTTCTAGTTTCAGAGTTCTACCCGGGCTTCCACTCTGCAGTCTTATGATGAAGTAATAAAACCACATGCAAGAATGGGCAGGAGTTTCAACAACTTAAACAACATTTTCAAAAAGAGCTATTTTGCCATTAAAAGTTATAACATTTAAAACCTTTAAAAGGCTTTAAATCTCAAGGCTGATGCAGCATCAAAACCATAAGATGCCTGTTGCATTCCTTGGATACTATGGTCACTTTTTGAAGATCCCTTTATCATCCTCTTGTATTCAGAAGGGGCACATCACTTTAGTGAGTGTATAAGTAAGTGTATAAGTATTTGAGAGCTGGATTTTAAGACATATTTGAAAGCCAATTTATATATTTTTAAGATATTTAATTTTACTGGTGCAACTTCACAAAGTCAGAGGATGGATCAGCCTGACATTCTTAGGGGAAAACACAAGTACAAGTCTGCCTTTGAAACGACTCATTTCTGTGAACAGATTGTCCTTTCCTAATACACTCATTTCCCAGCTTGATGTTCCGCCAAACAGTTTTTTTGCTCGTTTTGGTCAAATACAATATGCTGCGGGAAACACAGCTATTTGGAAACACAAGTTACAGTCACATGTCCCCTCTGCTCTATTCTTCAAGTACTCGCCTACCTCACTGCCAAAATATCTAAATTAGCCTACTCCAAAGCAGTCTCAGGAGAGCACAGACAGGGACTGGGAACGAAAGCCACCGATAAGAAAGGCCACTCGTGTGGGGTGAGCAGCATGAATCCAGCTGCAGTCTTCAGGCAGCAGCTTTATTCAGGAAGGTCTTTCTATGTGTGCACACACAGAGTGCACAGAATAAAAATTTACGACCCTCTCCCATCTTACCTGTCACTTAAGACAACTCCTTCTGCTTCTGGCGGAGCTATGGACAGTTGGAAGGGAGTGTTGAAGTAATGCTGCTGCTCGTCAGATCGATGGACTACTTCTCCTCCTCTGACCACCAAAAATCCAGAATCTCCCAAGTTGGCTGTATGTAAACGGTGACTTGTTCTGTCCAGAACTACTATACAGGCTGTACTGCTTCCTGGGAGCACAGAGAGGACAGGAACTGCAGTCAGCCTTGCACAAATTGGTTATTCTTTCACCGGTTTAATTCCTTAGTCAAATATTCCAATTATTCCAATATTTATCAAAGCTTACAAATCAGGACAAATGGAAATACTAAATAATGCCAAAGTTAATATATACTAAATATACAGAATGCTAGAAATCTTTGCGAGATAAACTACAGTTTTTATATAGAACTTATTTTTTCCTGCTTTGATTTTGGTAAACACATTATGCTGACAGATACCTGTTTTGTTCCACTTTATTTACAGTTTTCCATCCCAACATATGTCAGCACATTCTGCTATAGGACTGGATTTACAGAAGTCACATAAAATACTGAAATTCCGAAATCATTGAGATAATAGAATTCTAGTAGCATCCATACAATGCCAGGTGCCCTCCACACAGTTTCACTCATCAGCTGTAAATAAATCACGCCAAGTAAAGAACTGCTTGCAATTAAGTACTAGGTATTATTGCATTACTCTTGTCAGAAGATTAAAATGCTTTTCTTCATAGTACAGCCCTGTAGAGCTATCTTTATGCTTGAAAAAAATAATCCCATCACATCTTCAGGAAACAAACTTCACAAGTTTAAAGAAAACATGTTTCAGAGACAAATACTATTCCAGATTAAAGTTAAGATAGCGTGGAAGAGTATCTGCTCATCAGCCATGCCCAGAACTACCCCAGCCATGCCTGAGGGCACCGAGGAATTCTTGATTCATTCACTGCTAAGAGGCCACCAACTGTGCTTGGTTGCAAGCCACAAAAATAATGTACTGCAAAGACACCCATTCACAGACCGAGTCCTTCACAGCAATCAGCAATCACTTAATTTCTGCAAACAGGACAGCACATCCACCAAAAGAACTTTCACTCCCAAAGAGGGTGAAATACAGCTAAAGCATTTCTTCTTGAGTGCTACCTCTAAGCTAAGTCCCTACATGACCAGCTGGTGAACAGTCTTCATCCTCCATCCTAACGTTCTTCCAGCAGGAGTTTCCAAGTGCAGCTCCATGTTGGACAGACCACAGGCTCGCACTGAGCTAAACTTACAACCAGGCTTGCTGGTGCAGAGTCCAGCTGGCTCTAGGCACCACCTATTCCAGATGTTTCCCCTTCTCATACTGGGAGATCTCTGCAATACACTCACACTTAAACCACTCTCTAGTGAATATATAGGACCTTCTCCACTCTAGTGGATGGTAAGTCAAAGCAGTATCTTAGGAAAAAATCAGATTTTATATGTGGCTGCGTCCAAGATTGTTCTGCAATACATGAACTGTGTTTAAATAAATGGCACAGTTTCCTCTCACTTCAGTCTTATTTTAAAATATTTGCTAGATGCAATTCTGACAAACTAAGTATCGAGAGTTAGAGCACAAGAACAAGGAAAAGTTACTGCCTGATGAATCCTCCTTAATGAAGTCCTCTCCCTTCACTTTAACTGAACTCTAAATGCTCATTGCTTTGGTAATTCTGGGGGTTTATTTCTACTTCTAAAAATACTGTTCTCCGTTAAAGGAGAAACACTAGGGATCATTAGTTTCAAATTCTAACTCTATTAGCAGAGTGTAACTAGGAGGCCATGTGTGGAATGCAGATCTTGTGACTCAGCATATGCTGCTTTTCAGAATTCGAAAGGTCAAGCCAAGCAGGGCTGCCTCCGTCTACAAAGCCGCGGCGAGAGCTCTCACCAGTGGCCCACTTCGTAGATCCCTTACAGCTACATCTGCTTTGCACAAATAAGCACTATTACACAGACAGAATCCTAATGTAATTACCGACCACTGCTATTTTAGCGACACAGAAGGTCACTTCTGAGGTTCAAAACCTATTCTTTAGGCATATAATGCGAGAACATCTGTTCCGAAGCTCAGAAGACAAGTTAAATATAGCTTACACAGCACTCCTCTGGCAGAGGAGTTTAAGGTCAGGTGAGAAGCATGCGTATCACGCAGCGCAACGCTGTCGTGGTGCGTACAAGGTCACATGCCCTTTAAAAACGTATTCTGTTTTCAAGGTTGTCAGCTGAGGCCAAATGTTGCCTCTCTATCTGGCTCACTATTCAAGTTTGACACAGAATATTTTAAGCATCTACTTTAGTTTGCTTTCAAAAAAAATCTGTAACGATTCCTTTCCCAAGAATTATAAAACCAATATACAGTACCAGTGATTGTATGATATAAACTTTATATGCTTATATCATATAAGCATATGTGTTGACTTCAGTAACTGAAGTCAACCAATGAGGTTTAAAGTTCATTGGACATAAAAGGCAAGGGGAGCAGTAAGGCAAGGAACGAGCAGAACTGCATCCAATTATCGTCAGAAAATATTTTTGCTTGCATAGCTTAAGCAGAAAGCCACAACCAACCATTAAGAGTTTTCAAGGGAGAACAGTTATTTATACACCCGTAACAGAGAGGAGGAGTGCACACACCACGGTGTATTCTACTGCTCAACTTGTTTTGCAAACTCTCTGCAAGCACTGCTGAACTACCACCCCTCACACTTAGCCTTTTTTTAATATATATATGTGAATATATATACACACTTATGGCTATACACACATACGAGCACTTTGCATTACTGAATGAAGGTAATTTTTAAACAAACCTTGACAAACACACATGAGAAAATAAAGATACTACCAGGACAACTACATTTCTACATTATTTTTTTTTGTTAATTAAAAGATAAATGCCTGGAAATTCATCGTAGAAGCTGACAACAGATTTAAGCAACCTTGACTAAGCAGATGTCTAGATAACATACAAAACAGATGCAACGTATATATTTTTGCTCTCTTACCAAGCAAAGGTACTTTGTTCTGCAGCAGCTCACAATAGCCCGCGGTGAGGATCCCAACAGGGTTACTGGGTACAAACCGTCCTTCTTTTACCAAACGTTCACACGTTCGCATGAGAGTCCCTGAGAACTGAGAGGGGTCAACCCCGTAGTCTCTCCAGCCGCCCACACCATCTGCCACCCCTAGGAGAGAACAGAAAACAAGGCTTAGATGGGCAGAAGTGGTTTCTGAAACAAGGCTTTTAATTTTCGACATCATTCATGATATTCAGTAACTAAAAAGTAGGACAAAGACCTTGCTTGAAAGACATTTTTGATTATGAAATAAAAAAAAAAGAGCATATGATATTCAGTAACTAAAAAGTAGGACAAAGCCCTTGCTTGAAAAACATTTTTGATTATGAAATTAAAAAAAAAAATGAGCATGAGCATTTATAAGATAACTTCTGACATCAGCTCCTTGACAAATCTCTATAATCCGAATTGCTGAAGGTAAATGTCTAATGCTGAGAACTCTGAGATGAGGCTGACTTCAGTAGAGAACAACGGGAAATTTGGAGGGAAGGAGGGGTATTCAATCACATCAACCCTTGATTAAACCATTAAAAAGGAAATAGAGTTTTTATTAGCTTTAAATAGGAAAGTTTTTAAGATTTTAAATAGGATAGAAATGATACAGAAATTCTTCCCTACTATTCAGCAGCCCAAAGTTTTTCCCTTAAGCTACTTGCACATACGACGGATAATGCTTTCTATTTGGTAATATCAATTTCTGTAGAAACCAAACTTCCATTTTAAAAGTGTGTTCAAAAAAACCCACGTAACCAACACAATGCTGGGACCTACCCCTGCAAGGATAGCGTGTCGCTTACAGCTTCAGCCAAGCAAGAGAATGAAAACTGACTACGATCCAGTCAATTTTCATTCAGTTATTCAAATCAACCTAGACAGCAGAAAATTACACCAATTCTGCCAAAGCTTGGGAAGCTTCTGAGCAACGGTAGAGGCAAATAATGAAGATGCACATAGAAAAGGGGGGTGGTCAGAGGGAGATAAACAACAGGTATGACATTCTGCTGCTCATTTGGCTAAAGTATTTTGAACTTCCTCAGTTGGCTTCAACGATAAACGTAAAACACTGTCCAAAGGTATTCATGAGATAAAAATATTTCTACTTGGAAATTTTTCCAAAAAATCTTTTTGATCCTCAACACGTAAGGGACTAACCATTTCTAGCATGAGTTTCTGGAACACAATAAAGCTAAAATACTATGTTCCTGATAAAAGGACAAGTAGCCAATTTCAGATTCTGCTGAAGAACAACAGCTTCCTCAGAAAAAAAATGCCACTATCAGCAAAGGCATGAAAATTTGACTGAGAAGGTAAAACTAAGTTTGCCTCATCTACAAATGCCCTTCACACGGGACACCATCTGAAACTGAGACGGAAGGTTTAGAGCCGACCTTGGCACGAACTATAATCTGACAGGAGGTTATAGCCCAGATTCTCAACAGCCTATCAACATTAATCAGATTTCTCCCAAAAATAGTGCACAACCTTTTAGACACCTGCTTTGTCCGTTCGCTTTCTCAGAAGAATGCTATAGGAAGACAGATCCCCGTATTCACCTCTTCAGACCAGACCCCGGGAAGAAGCTCATCAAAGCAGCCCTGACATTCTCGGAAATGCCTTTTCTGGTTTCACCAAGAACAAACTAATCCTCTCTTCACGGGTCTCACAATTTCAGGTTAATGCTGAACTAACCCTTTGCTTTCCTCTGCTGTGCAGACAAGTCTAGAGTAAGATATTATTAAGAAAAAGTTCTAGATCTAGAACTTGAAACAGAAACTAAGCTTCATTTTGGATGACAATGCTCTACATGAAGCTACCACGAGTGGCATCTAGAACTTGAAACAGAAACTAAGCTTCAGTTTGGATGACAACACTCTACATGAAGCTACCAGATGAGTGGCTTTTTTTCCCCTTTAAGATGAACACAGTCCAGATATACTTTCTTTCAGCTGAATACAGCACTGCTTCACTGACAACAGGGTTAAGGCAATGAAAAGATGATGTTTGACAAGTATTGTCCACAGCTTTTGGCTCCTGAGGTGGTTACAAAACAAGCTCATCACCAGTTACGGAGTTCCCTCAAGCGATCTGTAAACCCTTTTTGTGTTAGTCTTCTTGGGAAATAGTGAAACAGAAATACTACAGCATTAAAATACAGTGCAAGAAAGCTGTCAGAGCAAGCACCTGGTAAGGTTAATTATCAAAACCAATTTCAAATTTTAAAGAAAAATAAGAGGATGCCACCTGATTGTTCACTTCTTACTCCAGGGCAGGAAAACTGAATCCATAATCATGGCACCGCACTTCAAACTCTATCTTGAGCCATGAAATGGCTTTGTCTGTCTGCCTTCCTGTCCGCTTTTTTGCAAGCTATAAACAGCTTGAAGCACGCTCTGCCAGCGCCTTCCAAAACAATCATCCTCTAGACGGTCCACAAGTAGGTCCTCTGCCTTAGCTTTGTCCCCTACTTCAGAGAACAGCTTGTCTGCTTAAGAATCAAGAGGACAGTTGTGTGTTCCTTCTCCACGGCTGGCACCGAGCAAAGGGGACCATCGCGTTCACGAGCAGGCCCTGGGGTTTGCTTCCACTCCAACCTCCACGACAGCTCAGCAGCTCCCTCACTCATGGACCACCACAGGTTTCTATTCCTTGATCTTGCCCAAAATGGACAACGTGGGGTTTTTTTTGCAAAGGTTTGAGATTTTTTTCTCCCCTCTTTTTCTTTAAACTGTATCTCTTGAAGGTGATAAGTCAGTTCATTTAATTTAAGTTAAATGACCTTGTTGGCTCCCAAAGCATGGCTCACCAACACTGCCAGAGCAGTCAAATGCTTCCTCCTGCTCCGGCACCCAGCCAGGAATTACTGCTGCCCCCAAGATCCATGGCAGTGCAAAGGCAAAGCACATTCAAGAAGCCTGATACCACACACTGCCACCTAGAAAACATCCACCTTTTTTATTTTTGCCTTAAAAGAAGATGTTTACATTCCCTAAGACCTTTAGCCATCCTGTCCTACCTTCAGCACGGTTTTAAAATAAAATGGGTACCTTTACACTCAATATAAACCAAGTGGTTTTATGGGAAAGGAATAGTGTGATTTTAAAACAGACTGAATAAACCGCTATTGAAATAGATGAAACGTAAATGACAAGAAAACTTTGAGATACTTGATATACAGCAAACAAGGAGCAAAACTATTTGTGAGATCTTTCCAACTCCAAAAGTAGCAAAACCTGAAAACTCAACTCAAAAATGGACTAATTTTTACATAACAGCATGCTTTCCCCCTGTCCCCAAAGGAAAATTCAAAGGTACTGCTATTGGCGGCGTCACTGCCAAGGAATAATGCCAAGTTCTATTCATTTATATTATCTCTGTTTTTATGTATGACCAAAAAAACCCTGTAAATATTCAAAATAACTAGTTTTAACAAGGGACTATTCAGATTTTCATTTTCTCACATTTCACTGTAAAACATTAAATATTGTTTTCCAGTATCCACCATTTGACTTAAAATAACCATCTTACAAAATAGGAATCACAGGCCATTCAAGACAAACCGTATGGCAGAGAAAAAATGCTGAAATTCAACTGTAAACTACCCTTGATTTTTTCTAACCCAGTCAATTAAACAGAAAATTTTATAGAAATAATATTTCTTTGGCTATTCCCTGCCCAAGCCTATGCAGAAGTGACACAAATGTCCACGTGACATGACAAAATGCCTGTGGCCAGAGGAACAACTACCATAAATAAAACAATTGAAAATTTCACAATAAATTACTTCTAAAGAATAAATGCTTCTCAAGTGTTTAACTACATTATGGAGAACTTTCACAGTTAACACTCCACCACATTGCCTTCTGCTGGAAAATACGCAACTACTACTGCCAGATTAAATACTCACTGCATGTGTCAGTCCAAAAACTGGCTCTTTCTAACTTCTTAAAGATTCCGTGTATCAAGATCTCTCAGGGAGAGAAAGTTGCGATGAAGTTTCAAGTCAAAGCACCAGTGACTGATGCTGCAGCACTGACACCGAGCAAGTGAATATACTGGCACTGAAACTTGTTAAAATTTATTTCAAAATGCTAAAAGCACCTGGGATAAATACCAGATGAAATGCAAACGTGAAGCTGTTTTGGCTGCCAACACATAAGGTTAACTGCAGAAGCCCAGGGAACAGCCAGCCAACCCCGAGATGAGCGATATGTGCTTTTTCTTGCCCACTTTTGTAAGTCAGATCCAAATGTTCTATCCAGTTCAGAGCAAATATAAATCAAACAGGCTTAAAGTTCAGAACAAAACCACAATGCTAATCAACCCCTGTTTAATATGGTGTTATGAGGGGAAGTCCTGGCTAGCTGGCAAACTAACCCACCCACGGTCAGAGTCCAAAAGTATCACCCTGTCCCAAAAATCTCTTGAAAGATGCATACTTTCAAAGGTTGCATCAGCTAAGAATAATAATCACAGAGAGAAGCACCAGGCAGGCACAAGTGAGCCAGCAGGAATTGCTTTTGCACGCAACCACAATTAACTCTGTAAGACGCCCCACACATCCCACTGAACTTTAAATTTCTTGAGATCCTGACCTGAATTAGCACTGAATCACTGGTAAAAGAACATCAAAAGGATAGATTTGTGACCGAATCTATTTCGCATCAAACACAGAAGGCTAAAAAAGGTAACAAAGTGCAACCTGTTGCACTCACACAAGTTTGAAATAGGGCACCTAATTGTCAACATATCAGAACTGAGATAAACTGATAAGATTTCTTGTGTTATCAGCGACGAGATAAATCACACACCTCGGTAAATTATCCAGCCAGAGCAAGTCACACGCTCCAAGCCAGCGCTCCTAAAGCATCACTGGCAGCAGTTGTGGGATCACAGTGTTACAGCCAAACCGTGTCTCCTTCTCCCCCCCGAGTTTTGACAAAAAAATAACCTGGTTAAACACAAATCCCTGAAGGCAGACTGTGTGTGACTGATAACTAGTTACAAAAGGAAAGGTTACTTATTCACGCTATGCATTTTAAAAGTTACAGCAGACCTTAAACTACCATTGCATGAAATAGAGAGGTACTGGAAGAATAACTGGCCGTGTGATAATGAGGAACAAAAAAACAAGAAGCAAAGTGAGAGATAATATTGAAGGAGACTGAGGGAGAAAGAAGGAACTGAAAACATTAAATTGTGCATCTACTTCCAGGAAAAAGAAGTAATTCCTTCTTTCCCCTCCTCCCCCCTTGCTACAATAGACTGTTGTTCCTGGAACAGGTTTTTACCAGGTAGATCTCTTAAACATTTTATTTGAACCCCAGAAATCGCTCAGTGGATTTTGGAGCTACAGGAGAACACTAAACTGTTATTTATCTCTGAAAGTTTCGTAAAAGCTTCCCTACGTAGTTATAACCACTTCATCTCTCAAGGTGTTGAGCAACCCTGGAACTCGTTTCGTAGCTGAACTGCTACTGATGGCTGGTGTTTAAACGCTGAGAAGGGGCAGCTACTGTGGAACAGACCCCAGCCAAGCTCTGCTGAAATTACTTACAGCCCCAACAATCCCAGGCTCACAATATTAACAGCACGGGTGAACCAAAGTAAGCAGCCTGAGATTTTTGCAACGTTTCCTGCGCCATAGGTATGATTAATGCTCACCTGCTGTACTGTGTTCAGCTTTGCTCCTTCCCTTCTGTGATTTCTGACAGAACCTGCTTTTTGTTCAAGATGTACTAAGATGTGCGTATCAACAGAACACTGTCTGCTAGCAACGAGGATCAATAGCACTTACAATTAAAATAAGCATTCAATTGCAAATTCTGATCAGAATGCATCGCGTGCGATGCCCTTCCAGAAGCTGTGGTAAAGAAGAATAACCTGATTTTAGTTTCATTCTCGGAAAGAGAGCTACCACATTTCTAAGAGGTTACATTCAACATTACTTAAGAACAGCTCTGCTGACACTGGGATTAGCTGTATTGACAAGAATGTCAGTGAATAGAATGGTTAATGGGGATGCTTCTCAATAATTTGTAGTTTCCCTACAAGTGACAGTACTCATGCTCCCATGTTAAAAGGGAATTTCATTTGGTCTATTACAAACTAAGACACACACACATTTTTTTTTTTCAAATCACCGATTACTCCCGCTAAGATGTCCTGGGTTCTCCCAATAAAGTAGGTGAAAGGCTACTCTGAAGCAAGCAGACAACTCCCCCCCTCTAGTGTGATAAGCTGTGACAAGGCAAAAATCTCTTTTAATAGGTATGATACCAAATAAACCACTTCACGTTGTCTTACACAACTTTCAGGTACCGAAGTAAGAATCCCTCCCTCCTCTACAGTTGCCAGAACAACCTTGACATTTCACCCCTCTAGTGTGATAAGCTGTGACAAGGCAGAAATCTCTTTAATAGGTACGATACCAAATAAACCACGTTGTCTTACACAACCTTCAGGTACCAAATAAGAATCCCTTCCTCCCCTACAGTTGCCAGAACAACCTTGACATTTTGTCTACAAATCCTTTTATGTTTTGCAGTTTACTTTTCCTGATGACAGTGAGACTAACAATATTCCAGGGGCTTTGCCACTCTAGTGGTTTACATACCTCCTACGCAGGCTGCTGACAAACCGAGTTTTCAAATCAAGTGTAATTACTTTCCGTTTAGAGTAGCTGCCCTACAATACCCTCTCCTCCCCTCCCAGTAAAAATCAAGATTTGCAGCAAACACAAGAGTTACCATATTTTAACTTTGCAGTGGACAAACAGTACCCTGCTGCCAGACAGTTTTTTCCTACTACTGCTGGGGGACAGAAATAGTTTGGAAGACTAGTCAAGTCACACTGGCTACACCCAAACTTCTGCCCAGCACAGACATTGTATAAGTGATGCTGTCACGGGATGCACATTGGTTGCTGTAATGTTTCAATAGTGAGTCACACAACAGCCTGGAAAATCCATAAAAAAATAGCAAAGACATCAGGAGCCTGATAAGGCAGGAATAAGCAAGAAAAGACAGATCCCAACAACAGAAAAAAAAAGATCACCAGCACGAGACATCTCAAAATTCATAAACACGCTTTTAAAGTTAATTCAAAGTGAATGTGGTTTGCTCCCTATGCACTAAAAATTCTACTTGTGTGCTCATTAGGAAAAAAACAGAGATGTCACTTTTTGAAGAGTTTTGGTTTTCAGCTTTGAACAACAGTATTGCTGTCTTCAAAAGTTACAAAGGCATGCCCTCAGATGTGAAGTAGTACATAAGTCTCAAGAAGATATTAAGATATTTGAATATTTTGAGGATCCAGACAAGCAAGACACTGAAGATATGGAAAGATACAATATGGTACAAGCAGCAGCAAAAAGGAAACACAGGCCTGAATCATAAAGCTCTAGAGATTAGTATTAGTAGTAAAGCCATTTCCTTTTCTTAGGGTGATCCCAAAGGAAACACTCTGGTTCTCAGTTTCTTATTTCTCCCTGTGCTCAGAATGGGAAGAAAACATGTAAATTTGACAGGTACATCCCAGACAAAACTAAAAACAAGAGATAAATCCCCCAAGAATCCAAGCACACCAGTAATAGCCCTTATCAAGCCTCTAACAACTATGGGAAGACTGGAGATACCATGACTCTTCATAAGCTTTCTGTTGATCTTACTATGAAAGGGTAAAGCACAGACTAGAAGACACTGTTAAATTTTTTGCCTCAAGACTATACATTATACATATAACAAAAGAAGTGTTTAGCATTTTTCTGTCTGCTGTAAACACACCGCCTCGTCAACTTTTGTTTGACCTAAGAAAATGAATCCCCAAGCACTCATGCCAAACGGCTGGGAGTAGCTCTTTCACTATTACACCACACCCATATCCATCCCACACAGGCATGCTTCCCACATATTGGTTCTAGAAAAGACTGGCACAGAAGAATTTTAAATTACTTATCTGGCATGGCTTTGTCACTGATGAGTATTAGGACAGACTAAGTGAGACACTTGAAATTTGCTGTTCTCTAAAAGCACTCTTACTGTGCCTCGTGTTCCCTTTGGTTAAAACCACATGAGCCTCTTCATTAAACTAATGCTGAAAAATGAGGCTTGAAAAGCCACAGTTTTGCTGAGGTGCAGAGTGAGGCCGGTATTGAGTTAGCACAAAATTTATGAGGGTCTTTTAAAAACAGAACCTCAGATTGTGTGATGAGAGTTAAGAAGAACAGAGAGCAGGAAAACACCGGTGCTGAAACTCTTCTTGCAGCAGCGTAGAAGAGCTGGTTGAGAAAGGGAGAGCAAAGAGATAATCACAGTAGCAGAAGCAAGGAGAAAACCACTGTGTTTGTCAACTTAAGAACTACAGATGAAGTAAAGGCATCAAGTCAGATTTCATCAAAACCCATCCTGAGCATTACTGTTTGCAGAATGTACAGTGATCCTGGGTTTTCTGGTATGTATATCAGAAAAGCAATAAAGAACTAACAGTAAAATACCTTTACAGGGGAAAAAAACCAACAGCTTTTCTATTTAAATTATTTTCTTCTTGGTACTTAAGACATCCTGGTCTGAAGCTGCCTTGGCTGTTTGATCCTTAATTGGAGTTGCAATTTTGTTTGTTTTCAAGTTGCCATGAAAATGAATGCAAAGACCAACTTAGAAATGCAATTCTCTGTTGATTCCAGCAGGAAGACAAGGCAAGCTGTAGGTCCACAAATGGCAATTACCAAATATGGCCAAAAAAACCCTAAACATCATCAAACGGGTCTAAATCGACCCACTTCCCCATGCAAAGAGTCCACCTACAAGTAAAGGACATTGTGCATTTCTGCCACAAGCAAACACCAATTTCTGAGTTATTTATCAGTGGTGGCCTAGTATGAACTTTAAAGGCAGCCAGCCTTAGTCACATGTTAAAGTAAGGTTGTCCAACAGCTAATTCTAATAGAAAAAAGTTTCTCTGGAACAGGCCCAACAGAAAAGATGCAGAGTATCTAAAAGGCAGAGTATCTAAAATGCATTGACCAGTTTTCCACATCTCCTTGAAAGCTGCAGCATCACCCTTAAAAGTAACAGCTCCCTGGAGAATAATCAGCAATACTGTTACCCAGCACCAAGTTAGAGCTTTCTGAAAAAAATGTCTCAGCTATATTAAATGGCAACCAAGTTACAATGACAGCACCAAATCCTGAAGAATCACTAAGCACCATCACAATACTGCAGTGCAATCCCACCACTTTTTAAAAATAAAATTAAAAAAAAAAAGGGGGGGTGGAGGAGTGGGGGAAAGGGAAAGGAAACTTTTTTTTTTTTTTTAAACGTCAGAGTTCTGGTGAAAAACTACTTCTGTCAGTTGCTTGAAAACTAACTTCTGCAGAATGTCAGTCAGCCCAGTTCAACCTTGACTACACAGGAGAAAGGTCATGCACTGTCAAAAGCAATGCTGCTCATAAGCTGGAGATTCCATTGATTATCTATAATTATTCACTACTTCTAAAATTTAAACCCTTAAGATTCATCTCGCAGGCAAATCCAAACCAGGGAGCATAATCAGGGCAGAACAAACGCCGAAATGGAAGTTTGACATTTGAAACCAGCCTCAATGTCACTTTGCCTTTCACTTGACAAGGACACGGTAGGCGCTAAAATCAGGAAGTGTCCCTTTCGATGATCCTTTAGGTGGAAAAGCGACACATACCCAGGGGGCTGGGGTAGGTTTTAAGGTGAAATGCACCATGAGTTATTTCTCTGGCTTTTGGAACCACTAGGCCTTACAGGCACCTACAGGTGAAGCGCCAAGGCTGGGCCCCGGCCCTCACAGCCCCCAGCCCCACAGGCGGCTGCAGCAAAGAGCTTTTTTCTTTTGAAACTAAAAAAAAGAAAAAGAAAAAAAAAAGAGAGAAGTAGCGCTGACATTGACAGGCAGAACCGGCTCCTTTGTCTACGACTGAGCCGCTCCGCCATGTGCGGCTCCAGGAGGGGACGTCGGGACACACCGACACCAGGGACACACCGACACTCAGGACACACCGAGCCCAAAGCCATCCCCTCCGCTCCCCCCGGGGCCGGCCCCCGCCGGTACTCACCCAGCACATCTGCCGACCGGTGCCGGGCCACGAAGCAGGCGTCATCCCCGTAGCACATGCCTTTCTTCAGGATGCCCTTGCGGAAATCTTTACCGAAGCCACAGCTGGCTGTCACCAAGCTGTAGTCACGGGAGTCCGTCTGCGAGAGGCCGCCCAGGACTGCCCGGGCCACCAGCCTGCCATAGGAGAGCACCGAGAACATGGCGTGGGGCGCCCAGCAGCCCACAGCCAGGAACGCGGGGAGCCACCGGCGCAGCCGCCTCCTGACCTGCGACCGCCCGCCGCAGGGAGCCAGCCTTCCCCTGCTCGCCGGCCGGCTCGCCT